CGTTCGGTTGTCTGGAACTTCTTAAACGATTTTACCACCCGAGACACAGTTGTATGGGTGATTCCCAGTTGTCTTCCGATCCATCTCATGGTCGCAGTCGGATTTTCCATGACGGCGCGCAAAATTCTCCGATTTTCTTCTTGTTTCGATGACATCTCAATAACCACTGAACCGATTGTTATGAAATTTTGCGTTTACATGTGCTTCACTCCAAACTAGTTGTACCCAGATTTTTATCAATTTTTACCCACGGATAAATGAGTTACACGCGGATAAAAATGGTGCATTTTTTTCGAGTACAAGCCTTAGTAGCAATGTAAGTAGTTGTAAGGTAGGTAGGTTTGTGTAGTAACTTATTAGTGGTAGCACAAAGCCTTTTGAACGGGAGGGATGTATCGAGTAATACCAACACGGAAAGTGTATGATGGTGGTTCGCTGCACCTACGGTCGCAACACAGAGTGAAATATGATATTGATTCAGCCAGCCTACATGCGGCGTTATTTAACGACGATGCCAAGGAAAAGGAGTTTCTGAAGTTTCTACAGGAAGTCAATATATATTGGAAAAAGTTACAAGAGAGAAGAGCGAGAAGATTCTACAGAAAAAAAACAGGAAGTGAGAAGATAATGCACAGAAAACAGAAGAAGACGGCACGTGAGGATCGAAGTGTGCCTTGGCAGCGATTAAACGTGTTTGTTTTCTATTGTCGGGATTTTTTGCGTTAATCTTCTGTCAGCGTTTTGGCTGGTGGCGCTACGCCATCCGGAAGAATTTTCGTTTGAATTATTTCCAAATGTATAGTCCAGTTCAGTTTTTACGTATTTAGTAACCGTGTTGTGCCAGTGTTAGTGATTTAGACCGTGAAATCAGCATGGAAAGAAAAGATTCCCGTTGGTTAAACCCTGTTAAGCCGTGCCGTTCTTTTCTGGATACTAATTTGATGAGCTCGTTCCTTAATTTTTGTGGTAAATATTTACATTATCAGCATCGATACTGTACCGGAGCGGGGCTTATTGTAAGCAAAATCTTCGGAAGCATGCGATCTTGAAATGGGCTAATGGGTATACGGTAAAGCTATCACCTTCGAACTCCAGAGTTCAAACTTTTTGCAGTCATAAAAAAATGGTTACAGGTAGATTTTATAGCCAATTGTTTTGTTCTTTAGTTTCAATAGTTGGTCTAGGCAATGATCCAATTTTATCAGAATATAGTTTTGTCATAGAAAAAGGTTGTGTTAGATCATGTTCGTAAAACAAATTCATGAAAGAAGGATACATATGTGGTAATATAGTAACAGGTTTCCTAATGACTACTGACTACTGATATAAGGCAGAATATAATTTTTCAACAAACACGTGTCGGTCGAATTAGGATTTATCCCAGGCTACTATTGTAGAAAAACGTAATTGATAGATATTGGGCGGAACGCGTCGGAATGTTTAGAAAAATAGGGCCCACGCTTGATCCGGTTTAAGATACATTGTTGACTGCTTTCGGGAACGTGATTTCATTTTAATAACTTGTTTACTTGTTTAACCATTGAACGTCGCGTGAAAGTTGAACTTAATGAAGGCATCAGTGCTTTTTCGTAACTTTTAGTTTTCGGATTAGAAAAATCATCGGTTGCAGGACAGTGTTACCGATTTATATTGGATAATCCAAAGCTATGTTGATCATTATAACATTAAATTTTGAATAACAAATGATAAGACAATCTTATTCAAATGTCGTAATAATACCTCTGACCAAGGAAAAATGATTTATATTGTTTTCATAAAAGTTGACGATACAAATACTAATGAGGAAAGGAATTCCGCATTTCCTTTTCCCAAGTCCTTTTCCTCTCCTTCCCTTCCCTTCTTCTCTTTTCAGAAAGCGAGTAATGGCGCTATAACCATATGCCATATAGGGCTAGGACAAGAGTTAGTGCTCAGGTCCCAACCGCTAGAAGAAAATGGTAGCGAGCAAGGGCGCTATAACCTAGGCGAATACAGCATTCCCTCCGTATAGGTTACGTCCGCACACCGCTCTCTGTTGTCCTTCGACTGAGGTCGTCTGGATCGATTGAGGGATCGCAGTGGGTTGGCGGTGCCGTCCACGCTTGTACGGAGGGAGGACTGTACGCTCGAACACAAGGGGTAAATGCCTGTGTTCCATCCCAGGAGATCGGACAACCAAGGAGTGTACATTAACTTTCTTAGCTCTGTCACTCCCAACGATTTATATAGCCTATTTTCAAATCCTGCATACGGAGCGGTTGGTACGGTATGTCCCCGCTCTTTGATTACCTGTGGATTAAATGTTAACCACTGTCTATACTTATTAAGTAGACATGGTAAACATTCACTTCCACAAAAATTAACTAAACGCTACACAGTAGGCCTGGCCACTTTATTGTTTGTTTCACATCCTTGATGTGCAGCAGGCATTAATAATGACAAGAAAAATGATAGATGTATCATTTTCCAGGATTCTTTCAAGTACTGGCTGTGTATGTGTAGACTAGACTAGACTAGACTAGAAAACAGAAGAAGACGGCACGGATCAAAATTAAGGGGATAATAGAACGGAATCTGATAAATAAAATGCAGAAAATTTCAAGATAATGGAGAGGATACAGAAGAAGACGGAGTGGAAGGAAGTTGCTGGACAATGAAAATGTTCGAAATGAAGATAGAAAACGAGAACAAGCGAAGCAGTAGAAGTATCATAAAAGGATATAAGATGTGTCGAGGAGTGTGACCATCCGACTACAACCATGGCATCCCCACGCGACTAGCACCAAAGCAGCACAAGAACCACACACCGATATGTCGATCTAGCCCTGCACGATCGAATCAGTTTTCTCAGCACACGCAGGAACACTCACTCTGGAGAGAGCAAAGCCATCATCATCGTCATCATCACCATCATCGTCATCGATTGCTGTAGGAGTGATAAGGATGACTAGTGATAAGAGCGGGGAGAATATCACCCACTCTCAGATATCGACGGAGGAAATCATCGCATCCACGAAGCACCGGACTACCTACGGCGATCTTCGGAAGCTGCGACCAGTCCACCTCAACCAAGTCACCGAATCGCACGCGCGGAGACCCACGGAGGAATTTTAATTCGTGTTAATTTAAGTTTTATATGTAGTGCTGAATATATGTAGTGTTTGAAATTAAATTGTTTGCATGTTGACTCAATAAAGTGTAGTTAATTAATTAACCGGTCGCGAGTTATGTAATTGGTGTTTGACGGACAGAACAACCCTGGATTCTTCAGCACAACACCGTGTTCCACCTCACAGCAACCTTATCACCATCGATGTCCGGGGCTGGAATCGCAGCTGAGCTTGTCCATCGAAGTTAACTGGCCCACCCCGTTCATTTTGGTCCTTCGAACCGGATACGGGTCAGGACAGACTGTGGACTGTACGGAAACTTCGCGACACTACACTCGGTCATAGCTGGAATAGCAATTGGATCGCCATCGCCTTTTGGTTGGCAAGCGCCATTCTGCTGAAGGTTTGCTCTATTGACGACACTTGCACGCTTTGGATTTGGCGTCACACCGCCATCGCTACTGGTTTTCGGTTGGCTTCGAATTCAACCCAACTAAGTTTGGTCAGGTTAGTGAACCCGTGCGTGCACGATATATGTCCAGCCGAGCTGGGAAATACAACCTTCTAACACTTGGTTTTCCGTTGAATGGATTGTTCGAAACGAGGTTCGGATTAGTAATTGGCTGATCTATTGTGGACTATTCGTCGCCATCGCGCGCCCTTCCATTATTGCCTTCTTCGACAACAATCAAGCGGCAACCATAGCATTTACGGACAATCGAAGTATTGTTCCATTGGACTCATCTCATTGGATTGAGGATTGATCGTGGATATCGATCGATCACGGCTGCATGCTGTAAACGCTCAACGGCTGAGGAAATTGCTTGGACGCTCTGGTTCGACACGCTCATCACCATCCCGGCGGAAGACTAGGACTACTGAATCAGCTCCTGCTCTGGATATCCAGGTAAATTATTTAAATTCAGTATATGTCCAGTCGTTGTTAGATTGCCTGAAACTAACGCCAACCATTCGACGTTTCTTCTATCTAATCCTTCGCCAACCACGCTGAGGACACGGGCGGAAGTTATCAAGTTTGGATTCGAAAGCCAGTGGTTTGGCATACAATCCTAACAGAGGTCACCAGAGGTCATCAACTTCGTCGATTGAGGTCATCGACCGCCACTACGACCAGTGAACAACCGTCTTCAGAGTCAATGACCGGTGCAAGGGCCGATGAACTTCGCATTCGACGCAGACTGGGAGCAGCGCAATTATTTGCCAGGTAAACACACATTAGTGTACTGCCGAAGCTAGGCGCATGTAAATACACTGTTTTTAAATTGGAATCAACCCTCTTCGTTCTACATTTCTAATCGCTGAGCCCTGATTGCCCTTTTGGCACCCCGTTCTCGAGATTTCGTCGGAATTGGATTTGGTCGTTTGCTGGTATCGCTAGGAATTCTATTGAACGTTAGGTGCAGTAATTGGTTCATGTGGTGAGTTGCCGCAGTATATGCCTGGCCGAAGCCATTTTGTTGGATATTACACCCAGTCTCTCCTCTTCATCCACATTCCGTTCGAGTACTTGCTGGTTTCAGACGATTGGGTTCAAGGCTGCTTGCATAGTTGATTGATTTAATTGGAGCATCACCATCTGCTTTGTCGGGTAAAACTTTAGCAGTATATGCCTAGCGAAGCTAGGTCTTCACTCTGTTTGCTACACCACCTCTTTTCCTCTTGATTCACACCATTGTTGCTGAGTTGTCGTCGAACGGAAGTCGGACGTGTGACGTCACGTGGCTGCAGGATTTCATTGGAACTTGAAGCACAATCAGTTGTTTCTGCGGGTAAATTAAGATAGTATATGCCTAGCGGAGCTAGGCTTTTGCAGTATACTACACCGCACCTTTCTCTTTTTGCTGACCGCAATACCGAAACGACGACAACATGGCACCCGGTGGCGCATCCACACCATCGATGCGAGCATTGACGGCAAGATTGAAGCAGATACAGCTGTCGCTCAATGACATCCACCGATTCATTCAAGCTTTTACGGAATCCAATAACATTACCGAGGTGGAGGTACGTGTTGAGAAACTGGACGAGCTTTGGGAGAGCTTTAGTGCAACCATGGTGGAGATCTACGCTCATGACGAATTCAAGGCTGAGAAGATTTCACTGGAGAAGGAACGCAGCGAGTTCAGCGATCGCTATTACGAGATCAAGTCCTTCCTAATGGACAAGATCAAGGAGCTCCAGAAACCCCAAGTACTGGAGCAGTCCTTCCGAGCTGGTGAGGGAACAACGTCAGTTACCATGGAGCACGTACGTCTACCGCAGATCAAGCTGCACACATTCAGTGGAGACATCGACGAGTGGCTGAGCTTCCGTGACTTGTTCACGTCGCTAATCCATTGGAAGGCAGATCTACCGGATGTGGGAAAATTCCATTATCTGAAGGGCTGCCTTCAAGGGGAACCCAAAGGCTTGATCGATCCACTCCCGATCACGGCAGCCAATTACCAGGTGGCATGGGATACGCTGTTGAAACGCTACAACAACAGCAAACAGCTGAGGAAGCGGCAGGTACAAGCTCTCTTCAAGCTACCCATGCTTTCGAAGGAATCCGGAGCTGACTTGCACATACTGTTTGAAGGCTTCGAACGTATTGTGCAGACTCTCGACCAAGTCATCCAACCGGCTGAATATAAGGATCTTCTGCTGGTGAACATCCTTACAGCTCGATTGGACCCGGTCACGCGTAGAGGGTGGGAAGAGGTCTCATCTACAAAGAAGGAGGATACTTTGGAGGATTTATGTGAATTCATTCAGCGTAGAATCCAGGTTTTGGACAGCTTGCCACCGAAGCCCGTCGATACTAGGGGTCTCGGCCAATTGCAACAACAACCGAAACCGAAGGCTCAATCAATGAAGGTCAACTACGGTGCACAAACATCTACGGGACGTTGCATTGCCTGTTCATCGGATCACCTTCTTCATCAGTGCAACAAATTTCAAGGGATGGCAGTCTCGGACAGGGATGGTCTTGTTAAATTAAATGGACTCTGTCGAAACTGCTTAAGGTCAGGACACCACGCTAAGGATTGCCAGTCAAAATTCTCGTGCAGGAACTGCAAGGGACGTCACCACACGCTTGTATGTTTCAAACCGGCGAAGGAAAAGGGATCCAAGGTTGCGACAGTTGCTGGGGGTAACAAGTCGTCCAATTCTGAGGATCAGCAAGGGTCATCTGGTTTATCAACCACACAAGTTGCTACCGTAGCAGCTACGGAAACTGCAGCACCCGCTGCAGCTCAACAACAATCAACCCAAGTGCTTTTGGCAACGGCAGTTGTGGTTATCGAGGATGATGTTGGCAATCGTCATCCAGCTCGTGCTCTTCTGGACTCCGGGTCCGAAATTAACTTCATTACGGAGCGATTGAGTCAGCGGTTACAAGTTACGCGAAATCGGGTGGACATTTCGGTAGCCGGGATAGGTCAAGCAGCTACAAAGGTTCGGCAAGGGATTCAAGCGGTATTGCGGTCACGTGTATCTGACTTCTCTCGTGAATTAGGCTACCTAGTCCTGCCAAAGGTCACGGTGAACCTTCCAACTGCCACCGTCAACACGGATACATGGACTATTCCAAGTGGGATTCAACTGGCGGATCCTATGTTCTTCGAATCGAACGCAGTGGATATCGTGCTCGGTATCGAATGCTTCTTCGACTTCTTTGAAACCGGACGGAGAATCTCTCTAGGAGCAAACCTTCCATCCTTAAATGAGTCCGTGTTTGGATGGGTCATCAGTGGTGGGATTTTGGAACCAAATCGCTCTCGGCATATCAACTGCAACGTCTCATCAGTGGTTGGCCTGGATGAGTTAATCTCCCGCTTCTGGTCCTGTGAGGAGGTTGATTCAGGCAAGGTTCACTCACTGGAAGAAAAACAGTGTGAAGATAACTATGTCAACACGGTTCAACGAGGTTCGGACGGTCGGTACACCGTCTCACTGCCGAAGGATGAAGATGCCATCTCACGGTTGGGCGAGTCTAAGGACATCGCATATCGGCGTCTCCAAGGAACGGAACGCAGACTTGACAGGGATCCATCACTCCGTGAGCAATACAACGCTTTCATGGAGGAATACGTCAAGCTCGGCCACATGCGGGAGGTGGATGAAACTGAACTGGAGGTAAAACGGTGCTATCTTCCGCACCACCCAGTGCTCAAGGAGGCAAGCACCACTACCAAGGTACGGGTGGTCTTTGATGCGTCATGCAAGACATCAAGCGGAGTATCTCTCAACGACGTTCTGAAGACAGGGACAGTTCTTCAGGAGGAACTTCGATCCATTATTCTTCGCAGTCGGACATGGCAGATCATGATTGTCTCGGACGTAGAGAAAATGTTCCGCCAAATCCTCATCTTCCTTCTGGAACGTGCCTTACAATGCATTCTCTGGCGTTTTTCACCTGCGGAGGTTATTAAGATCTACGAGCTCAACACGGTTACGTATGGCACAAAATCGGCACCATTTTTGGCCACAAGGACACTCAAGCAGTTAGCGATGGACGAGGAGAAGACATTTCCTCTTGCGGCAAGAGCGGTGCTTGAAGATACTTATATGGACGACGTAATCACGGGTGCGAATGATGTGGAAACAGCAAGAGAACTGCAGATCCAATTGAATAAGATGATGTCAGCTGGTGGCTTTCAGCTACGCAAATGGGCTTCAAACTGCCCGGCTGCTCTAACGGGGGTTCCAGAAGAGAACTTAGCTATTCGGCCTTCAGATGGAATTGATTTGGATCCAGATCCAGCCGTAAAGACCTTGGGGTTGACCTGGATTCCATCTACGGACATGCTGCGGTTTCAGTTTACCATTCCCACTTTGGCCAACGGTGAATTACTTACGAAATGGAACGTATTATCGATGATTGCGACCTTGTTCGATCCTCTCGGGCTTTTGGGACCAGTTATCACCATGGCGAAGATATTCATGCAGCGGTTGTGGACGATACTGGATGGGAATGGTCATACACTGGATTGGGACCACCCCCTACCTCCAACGGTGGGTGAGGCGTGGCGTAAATTCCACGAGCAACTACCTCTTCTCAATCAACTCCACATCGAACGCTGTGTTCTCATCCCAGAAACAGTAGCAGTCGAAATTCACTGTTTCTCCGACGCCTCGGAGAAGGCATATGGCGCCTGTCTGTATCTTCGGAGCACTAATGCGGGCGGAGAGGTGAAGGTTCGACTTCTTTCGTCTAGATCAAAGGTTGCTCCGTTGAAATGTCAGAGTATTCCTAGACTGGAGCTCTGTGGAGCACTTCTGGGAGCTCAACTATTCGCCAAGGTTCGAGAATCGATTAGGATTGATGCTGATTGCTATTTCTGGACGGATTCTACGTGCGTTTTACGTTGGATTGAGGCTCCCCCAATGACCTGGACCACTTTCGTCGCCAACAGGGCGGCCAAAATCCAAAATATCACTGAGGGTGGTCGATGGTTTCATGTTCCTGGGACCCAAAATCCAGCAGACTTGATTTCCCGGGGAATTCCTCCACAAGACATCCTGGAAAACCAATTCTGGTGGCGAGGACCTACCTGGCTGGAGGAGAACTCAGACCAATGGCCTAGATCACCGGAGATACAATCAACAGGAGAGGTTGAAGAAGAAAAACGTCGAACGGTTATCGCAGGATGCGTTTCCACACTCGCAGAGTTCAACCATGAGTACATTCGTAAATTTTCGTCATACTCCGATCTCGTTCGTCGCACCGCATACTGGCTTCGTTTGATGAAGCTACTTCGAACACCGTCTTCCCAACGGAATAACACAGCCTTCCTTTCCACCGCCGAGCTGACGGAGTCAGAAAATACATTGGTTGGTCTAGTGCAGAAGGAAGTCTTCGGCAAGGAATTGGAGGCTCTCACAAAGGAAAACATGGTCCCGAGGGATTCACCATTACGTTGGTTTAACCCGTTTCTTTCCGAGGATCAACTGCTCAAGCTAGGAGGACGACTGAAGCATTCTATGGAATCGGAACAAACTAAACATCCCGTCGCTCTTCCAGCACGACATCCTTTCACCCGGTTATTGCTGCAACACTACCACGAGCGTCTACTTCATGCGGGACCTCAGCTGATGTTAAGCGTAATTCGACTTCGATTTTGGCCGTTGGGTGGAAGAAGCGTCGTCAGGAACATCGTTCATAAGTGCCTGAAATGCGTTCGCTCAAAACCATTGACCGTTCAACAATTAATGGGTGATTTACCAACTGCACGAGTCACCGTATCCCGTCCTTTTTCTTCCACTGGCGTTGATTACTTTGGTCCAGTTTATCTACGGCCTGGTCCTCGACGCACTGCAGTTAAAGCATATGTTGCTATATTCATATGCCTCTGCACAAAGGCCATACATTTGGAACTCGTGTCAGATTTATCAACTGACCGATTCCTACAGGCTTTACGACGGTTCGTGTCCCGGAGAGGTCTTTGTACAGATATTTACTCAGACAACGGCACTAATTTCGTCGGCGCGCGAAACGAATTGCAAGAATTGCTAAAACTGTTGAAGAGCCACGACCATAATGACACTGTATCCAAGGAATGCGCCAAGGATGGTATTCAGTGGCATTTTATTCCGCCGAGCGCTCCTCATTTCGGAGGTTTGTGGGAGGCAGCCGTCCGCTCAACTAAATACCACTTGCTGAGGGTGATTGGCGATACACCAGTAACCCCGGAAGACTTCAATACGCTGCTAACTCAAGTCGAAGCTTGCCTCAACTCCCGCCCTCTCACGCCTCTTTCCGATGACCCCAATGACCTCGAGCCGTTAACACCCGCACATTTTCTGATCGGCTCATCCCTTCAGTCGATCCCTGAACCCAGTTTAGCAGAGCTGCCAGTTAACCGTCTGGATTCCCTACAACTAACGCAAAGGAGACTGCAAGACTTTTGGAAGAGATGGCGCAGGGAATACCTCTGCCAGCTTCAAGCTCGGACTAAACGATGGCAGCCAGCAGTTCCAGTCGATGTAGGCAAGTTGGTAGTCATAAAGGACGATAACCAACCCCCCACGAAATGGAAAATGGGAAGAATTTGTGAAGTCCACCCTGGTAAGGACGGTGTGGTCAGAGTTGTGACCCTAAAAACTGCCACAGGTTTTTTAAAAAGACCGGTCGAAAAGCTTTGTATCCTGCCGCTTCCTGATGAAGATGACAGAGCGAAGCCGAACGAAACAGCCTCAGCGACATAGAACCACATTCCCTTCCCCATCCCATCCAGTCGAAGAGGATCTGCTTTTTACTTTCAGAAATTCAGCGAATTTCAGGGTGGGTGAGAATGTCGAGGAGTGTGACCATCCGACTACAACCATGGCATCCCCACGCGACTAGCACCAAAGCAGCACAAGAACCACACACCGATATGTCGATCTAGCCCTGCACGATCGAATCAGTTTTCTCAGCACACGCAGGAACACTCACTCTGGAGAGAGCAAAGCCATCATCATCGTCATCATCACCATCATCGTCATCGATTGCTGTAGGAGTGATAAGGATGACTAGTGATAAGAGCGGTGAGAATATCACCCACTCTCAGATATCGACGGAGGAAATCATCGCATCCACGAAGCACCGGACTACCTACGGCGATCTTCGGAAGCTGCGACCAGTCCACCTCAACCAAGTCACCGAATCGCACGCGCGGAGACCCACGGAGGAATTTTAATTCGTGTTAATTTAAGTTTTATATGTAGTGCTGAATATATGTAGTGTTTGAAATTAAATTGTTTGCATGTTGACTCAATAAAGTGTAGTTAATTAATTAACCGGTCGCGAGTTATGTAATTGGTGTTTGACGGACAGAACAACCCTGGATTCTTCAGCACAACACCGTGTTCCACCTCACAGCAACCTTATCACCATCGATGTCCGGGGCTGGAATCGCAGCTGAGCTTGTCCATCGAAGGTAACTGGCCCACCCCGTTCAAGATGAACGATCGGAAAGCAAGGCTAAGAAAACACGGAGTTAGATAAGGCGAAGAAAAGGAAGCAGCAAGAAAGCCACAAAAGGCGTGGAGAGAACAAATTGGAGAAAAAAAGCTAACAACGAAAGATGTAGTGAAGAGATGACGAGAAATAGGTAGTAGTAATACTTTCTTCAGTAAAAAGCAAAAAGATCCGCACGGCAAGAGCGCAAGATGCGGATTGGCCTCCATACTCTGTTTATGGGTACGCTTAGGCGCCTTCTTTGCCTTGAAGACATGAAGTACGGCCCGCTTCATTGTCTGCTAGACTAACCAGACGGAAGAAATGACGTTCTTGGCCACGTCCCGAATCGAAAGGTTTGGATTGCGCTTGAATTAATCCCTCACCTTCCTTGGCTGGGAGGGAGCATCAGGGCAGCATCGAAGTTGCTACTGAACAATGGAGTGGATTGTAAAACTGGAGTCTAGGAGGGAATTTATTCTGTCGCTATAGACAGTTATATTTCACTTCAACAGCTTCAATGAATTTGACGCGCTCTTCTAAAAACAAACCATTATTCGTTTTGTTGGATCATAATGTTGGAAGTAAATTCTCTTATTCCCGCTGGATTCGCGTAAGTACCTCTGCTTACGGGCCCGTCCAACTCTTTTGGGCCCTTCATACAGCAGTATGCTGAATTCATATCGATAACGGATTATGATCGTGCTGTAAGTGGAGCCGCATGCAGCGTAAGAACCAAGTGCTGGCTTCTTACATACATACCAACATGTATGATTAATCCACAACAGTTTGAGCATATACACTGAGCTTACATAGTGTCTGAATTTACCCCCAGCAATTGCCTTTTCAGCAGTATACTTGTGTAATCCCTCAACTCAACGATCATCCCGGCAGATGAGGCAATCAACACGCTTTTGGTTTTCAAACAGACGCAGCACATTTTCCCCCCAGTGAGCCACGATGCACACCAGACTACCGCATCGTTTGGCTTCACGCGGCATCGTCACCGGCATTGCTGCATTTTGCATTTATTTTTCTGATGATAAAATTCAACAAAATACTCACATGCCACATCCCCGAGAACAACGGCAAGTCCCCAGTGCCAGGTAGCTACCAACCCACCCACACTCGGTGGATGGCATGGAAAGGCACGTTCTGGGAAACAGGCACATTTCGGACACGTTGAACGTGGGTTTTATTTTCATTAGGGACACCCGCCTTTTCGTGGCAAAATGCTTCCCGTCGCGTCCATGGAACCGTTTTTGCAGTTGCGTTGACTGACTCCAACCGGTCCAGGATTCGGGGATTTTGCGATGTTCTGTTGCGAGATGCCTTCTGTGGATTGCGTCCGCCTACCCTGCCACCCCATTACTCACTTTCATTGTTTCCGTTCTTTCCCTATAGGATGGTTGCGAGTGGAAGGGATGGTAGTTGCTACCGCTGCCGGCTGATGCAATTGAGTTTGCACATATCCTTACTCCCAGAGCGTATGTTAATAATGATTTAACAACGCAATCATCATTGTCATCATCGTTATCTTTTTACGCATACCTACGACAGCATGGCCCGAAAAACTGCCAACGGGGATGATGTTCGCAGTACTTTTCGGGAATTTGCATCGTGTTCTCACTTGCATCTCTCTTGGGGATCGACGTTGGATGCAATCCGGTAATTCATAATGGCAAATACATATAACAGAATGCAGCACGTTCTCATGGAAATTTTCCCCAGCTCCTCTGGTGAGACAAAAGCAAACTTATTGGAGCGTAAGCAGCATTCTTACAAACAATTCATTCAATTAGAATTTTCAGCATTAAAGCTTCATTTAATTTGCAAGTTTTACCATTAGTTACACGATGCAGTGCAGTCCCTGGACGATCTCAAGATGGGATTCTTTGGTGGGCAGTGCCGTAGCAAGAACTCAATTGATAACTCAGCCTATTTGGCGACGACCCTGACTACCTCCACAGTCCGGTAAGCAAAACAAACACAAAACTACCAACACCATTGCATTGCGTTGGCTGTGCAGAAATTTTCTTCGCAATGGAGCAACTTCTTCGGCCAATGAAATATACAAGATAATAAGCGCCACAACATCGAGCAAAATTTTTGTGTAAAATGAGCACCATCCAGCGAGCGTGCTTTCGGAATTGCAGCCGGGTTTCGCTCGACTTCAGTGGCGGTGTTGTCGCCTCATTTCGCGGAAAGTGTATGCAAAAGTTTGCCATAAATATCCATAAAATTATTAATTTATGAAGACTTTTATTTCACTTTAATTACACCCATCGTACTCATTTGCCCTGCCAACACTGCTAATAAAAACAATTGTAAATAATAGGTACACCCGAACCGGGACAGCAGGGCAAACAACGTACCAACAACCGTAGGAACTTGTTTGCTCACGAAGGAAGAGGGAGAAACTAAGCCCAGGCCGTCTTCGTAGCGCATCAGGACCGGAAGGAAAGACAGCCACAATGAAGTAATCAAGTTTATGTGTGAAAAATGCATTTGCAACTGTGAAAACTACACGAATAGTTGGCACGAGCAGCGAAGGGGTTCTTGCCGATGGAAGTTCCGACGCAAATGCAAATGCTTGGCTGAAAGGAAGTAAATAAACAATGAGTATGTGGGTGGGTGGGAGCCAGATAAGACAAGGGGTGAAAACGTAATGGAAAATTGCGCTATTATTAGTTTCTGATGTACCAGGTTCATGGCTGGTCATTTTTTCCATTATGTGGGCAATTGCTTCACTTTTTGCATCGTTTGAATAAAATGTGAATATTGATTTCATCTGGACAGGTTGATTGCTCCAACGAAAGATATGAGTTGAAATGAATCAAAGAAATTAAGGAAATTTTCCCTCATTGATTGGAGATGTGGGGAAAATTCAATTATTTATCTATCCTCATCGGACTTTTGTAGTCTTAATGAAGCCTAATGGTATAAAGCAAGTAGAAGTTTGTCTGACACAAACCCTGAGAACCCAATGCTTTTTTTTTTATTAACGTTAACACAGAGACTCAATTCAATGCAAGTAAATTTATAAGTCTTAAGCATTGAAATCTAAATCGCCCTGGGGTGGTATGGCGTTGTCGGTAGTATAGTCAAAGTGCTGGTCTCGTTATTAATGGGAACCGGTAGCAACATCCTATGTA